GTGTTGAAAAACTCAGAGAAGTTGTATCTTCTTGGCTAAATTTTTTTTCAGAGAAGCCATCACAGTTTGGTTCGGCACCTGCCTTTTGTTCACGCAGGGGAAGTTCCCTTGCCCGATCCTTTGCCAATGACCCAATCCATGATGCAGCGCTGCCGCATGGATGGCGGCCAAGGAACTCCAAGGCGAAGAAAATACTCCTTTTGCTTTGGACTATGACCTGCGTGTTTTAGCTGCATTTCCAGTTTTATAGTGTTTTATGTATAAATATCAAAAACCTTTTCCATCAATCCCATCACTTTAACTCATTCAACAATGCAAGTGCATCTTACCAAGTGCTCGTCTCAGGCTGCAAGTCATCAAAAAGCGTAACGTCATTTTGCAAGCTGCTATGATTCTTGGAATGTTTGATTCATCTTCTGGCTTTAGGGTTTGCAACGGCTTGTGCGATGAAGCGCGGGTGATACGATTCCAAGGAGTGAAGCAAATGACCAGAATGGCAGCTCATCTGCTGCCTTGTTTGAGTTGCTGCAGAGTGATGTCTACTTTGTGGAAAAGACTTCAGAGTTGGAATCACCCAAAGACTCAGTCATGACAGTTGGGCGTGCGAATTACGTCCGGACCTTCCTTGTTGAGTGCCAGCCTTCTGTCGAGAAGGTGAAAGCCTTGATGGAGCACCATACCAATGGAATCAAGATGCTGTGTTGCATCGCCCAAGCTGTCTTGAGTAACGTTGAGTCTTGGAAATCTGGGATCAAAGCTGCAAAGAAAGCCAAGGAGGATGAACGCAAAGCCAAGGAAAAAGAGCGTGAGCGGCAAGCGAAGCGAAGAGCCATGGAAGAGCAAAAGCTTGCAAAGAAACAAAAGCAGCAGGAAGATAAAGCTAGACTTGCTGCGGAAAAGGCAGCTAAAGCAGCTGCTGAAGGTCAAGATGGTACAGATGCAGATGGACGCAGGGTGCGCCAAAGAACCAACACGGCTGAGCTGAACGAAGAAACGGACTGGTTTGTCATATATGTTGAGCGTTTGTTGTTGGGTCTCTTTGTGGAAGGGGGGGTTGTGGTAGAAGCATTGCAGTACACAGCGCACACAAAACAAACAACACATAACATGAAACACTCAACTTGGAATATTTCCAAGTCAACATTGACCCTGACAACCCCAGGACTTGCCAATCATCTTGAGGGCACGCCACTTTGAGAAGGAGAATGTAGCGGCAATCCTCACTGAGATCAATGCTTTTGCTGCAGAAATCTGGAATGCACCAGATCATGCTGCGATTTGTCGCTTGCGAAAGGGTTCCGTCAAGAAGGTTCTGAAGGAACATCCTGAAGGATTCATAACCAGTGATCAATGCACATCAATGTCAAAGTCAGTCTCGACTGCTCTGACAGAAGCAGAGACAAAATTCGGGGCCCTTTTGGTTGACAACCCCAGCAGGACACGTACTGCCAAAGCTTTGGACATTGCAGGCTCAGCTGACATGCTGGGCTTTGACGTTCTTCTTCGGCAAGAGTTTGAACGCAGTGGATCGACATCCGCTGGATCCGTGGTGCTTGACAGGGAAAAAAATGTTCCTTGAGATGCTTGATTCTGCTAAGGCATCTTTTGCTTTTGTTAGGCATCTTTTGCAGATGGTCAAAGTCAGTGTCAGTATCCAGTCCAGTCTCCAAGACCAAGCATATTTTTCCCCCACCCGTAGGACTGTGGGGTTGTTAGATTTTTAGAACTTTGGACTTCAGTACGCCCGGTAGCCCAACTTAGCTCTTCCACAGCACACTGGCCAAAGTGATCCCTGAGTAG